TACTACTACTACTACTACTACTACTACTACTACTACTACTACTACTACTACTACTACTACCACTACCACTACCACTACCACTACCACTACTACTACTCCTACTACTACTACTACTACTACTACTACTACTACTACTACTACTACTACTACTACTACGACGGCCACGATACTTCTAGGATAGTCTTATCGGAACTTAGAAACACTGGACAAAACTACTACTACTACTACTACTACTACTACTACTACTACTACTACTACTACTACTACTACTATACACATTCCACCACCTTCCACACCTCCCGAGCGGCTGGCGTGGAAGGTAGAGGTCGAGGGCAGGCGCGCGCGACAAGAGACAAGTGCACGCGGCACGGACGTCCGAGCGGCGCTGGCAGGAGGAGGGCGCCACAGGCCAGGGCAGGCCCCGCCCCGGAGGCAGGACACCCGCGGGCGGCCTCCCGTGGAGCCGAACGGAAGCTCGGACCTCGGAGGCCGCTCCTTGATCCAGATGCGCAGCCGTGCGTTCCTGTCACTGCTCCCGGTCTCGCGGGCTCTCGGGGCGCGGGGCTGCGCGGCAGGCGTCGCGCATCCGCTCTGGCCGAAGCCGCTTTGTGCTTTGTGGTCGGGCCTTCGGTTTGAGGCGCGCCCCCCGGCGGGCTATTCGTTATCTCCGGAAGACCTCCGCTCATCCTGAGACCATGGCAGACTCCCTGAGGGGCGGCCCGTGGGGCTATGGCGACATCATTGTGCTGCTGCTTCCCATCATCTTTCTGGTGTGGGCGGTTGTGAAGCGCAACCCGATGCAGTCCACTGTTAGTCTGCCGCTATCGGCGGTGCTGATGTTCTTCATCAAGCTGATTTACCTCGGTTCTCACCCGCACGACACTACAGCGAACGTGATATCTGGTGTGCTTGGTGCGATGACGCCCGTCAGCATTGTGGCCGGCGCTATCTACCTCTTCGACTGCATGGAGTCATCGGGTTGCTTGGCATGGATGATCGCCACCATGAAGGCCATCACCAAGGGCCACCCGGTGGCGGAGGTGATGCTGATCGGCTGGGGCTTCCACTTCCTGGTTGAGGGCGCCTCTGGCTTCGGGACTCCTGCGGCTCTGGCGGCGCCCATTCTTTATTCGATGGGCCACGGCAAGCTGGAAGCGGTCGTGTGTCTGCTCCTCTTCAACGGCTTCTCGGCCACCTTCGGCGCTGTGGGGACCCCGATGTGGTTTGGAATTGGGGAGGCCACTGGATTGGATGTCGAGGGGCAGGTTAAGGTAGGGCGCGTGGCGACAATCATGCTGGTAGTCAACGCGCTGCTGCTAGTGCCCTTGATTGTGCGGGTTCTAGTGCCATGGCAGGACGTGAAGAAGAATTTGCTGTTCATATACCTCAGCATCTTCAGCATCATGCTTCCGATGCTCGGCATCTCCTTCTTCTCTGCGGAGTTCCCCACAATCGTCGGCGGACTCGTCGGCCTGGCCTCCACTGCGCTGCTCATCGTGTACGGCGTCGGCCTGAGGCCCGTCAGCGGCAAGACGCCGCAGAGCTCTGCCGATGCGCAGTCGGATGCCGCGGCCGGCGACGTGGAGCGCCCGCCTTCTACTGACCAGGTGGCTGAACAGCATTCCGCGGCAGCTCGGGAGCAGCAGGCTGCGAACGCGGGGGACATCTACCTGGACGCCGACATGATCGAGACCCTCGCCAATCGGGGCAACGCCATGAACATCATACCGCGCGCGGTATCCGAGGCCTCGCTCCGTCCTGTGGCGCAGCGCTCCGCCGTCATCTCCGTGGGCACGGCCCCGTCTGGCAGCAAGGGCTCTGAAGACAATGGCGAGACCACGCAGCAATCCGAGACGGGGGTGGTTGCCGCGCTGCTGCGCACTTCTCCGATCACATTGACTGTGCTGTTGCTGGTGCTGACGCGCATCGAGCCCATCGGACTGAAGGAGCTGCTGACTGACAAGGAGCCCAGCTTCACGCTGGACCTGAAGCAGATCGGCGACTTCTCGCTCTCGGCCTCGCTAGTCTTTAGCCTGAAGGACATCATGCGTGCGCCTACAACGAAGACTTGGACCTACGCCGCCCTGTATGTGCCGAGCATCCTCCCCTTCTTCGTCGTGGGGAGCGTGACGCTGGCGCTCTACAGGCGGGAGCTGAAGACGGGCCCGACGAGCATCATGCGCGGGGTAGTGAGCCGCATGCAGAAGCCACTTGTAGCGCTGGCGGGGGCGCTCATCTTGGTCGAACTGCTGCGAGGCACGGATCTGTACGCCGACTCTCCGGCCTTCATCATCGGAGTGCGCATGTCCGATTTGCTCAGCTATGGCTTCCTGCTACTTTCGGCAGCCCTGGGCTCTCTCGGCGCCTTCTTCTCTGGCTCGACGACCATCTCCAATCTGACCTTCGGGCAGGTCCAGCAGGTTGCTGCCGAGAATTTGAACGTCGACATGTACGCTTTGCTTGCTCTGCAGGGGGTGGGCGCAGCGATCGGCAACGCCGTTTGCCTGGCCAACATTATCTCCGCCAGCACCGTCATTGGCCTGACCGTGCCAGAGGGGGTGGTACTCAAGAAGGTCTTCCCGCTGGTTGCCGCGTTCTGCGGAATCAGTACCGTCGTTTGCCTGCCCTTCCTGCTTGCGTGAGCGCCGTCGCTCCAGGCTTCTAGGATGCAGCAACTCCTGGGACGCGAAATTCAGCATCTGCGCTGGTATATCCATACCCCGAATATGCTTACTCTGGCGTGCCACCGGGCTTACTCCGGCAAGCTCCGGCTGAGTGGCCCCTCACTCGGGCTTAATAACCCTTCAGCGTTCTCATGGAGACCACCCAGGAGTTGCCTCCCACAGCATGTCTAAGTGCAGAAGCTCTTCCCCAAGCTTGCTGTCTCCAGGTTTCCGGCACGGTTTGGACCGAACTCGCCCTGCCACAAGCGCGGGCGAGCCAGGGCGAGTCGTGCACGGCTGCAGGCACCACGGCTTGGCTTCATCCGCGAGGCCCGCGGGCTGGAGAGAGTCTCTGCATATGCTGTCCGCTCATATCGGGGCAGGCAACACGAGACACACGCAAACTCTTGGCGTTCCGCGCGGGTTTCCTGGATTCGCGCTAGGCCCTCCCGGCGGCGCCTCCGGCGCCGCCCCTATAGCGCGCTCCGCGCGCCGAGGGGGGTCCAGCGCAGAGCCAAGACATCCGCGCGGAGCGCCAGCATGTCGTGTCTCTGCTGCTTCTCTTCGTCTGTCATAGTGCCCACGTGGAACTGGACTGCGCCAGCGTTCCCGAAAGTCTTGACCACCCCTGCGGGCGCGTGGGCCTCGTTCCTCCCGCGGTTAAGCTTAAGTCGGGCCTATCCCTCTACAGGGGGAAAATTCTAAAATAGTCCAGAAATGGTCAGGGGACATTTTTTAAAAGTATTTCCCCAAACAGCTTGCTGAACGTGGTGCTGTTGTGATAGAAACTAACTCCGGCCGAGGGTACGCGGAGCAGAGACATCCTCACACAAATTTTATGGCTTTGGCCGTTTCGCTTGAGACATCCTCACAACTCTCGTTTCTGAGTTGGCCGGGATTGGCCGTTTCGCCTGAGACATCCTCGAAACGTTGCGCTCCGGGACGCCGCGCGAGAGGTGGTCCGGGCCGTTTCGCTTGAGACATCCTCGTAACTCTGAGCCCCGAGGTGCCGTGCGAGAGGTGGTCCGGGCCGTTTCGCCTGAGACATCCTCGAAACTCTGAGCTCTGCGATGCCTTGCGCGAGGTGGTCCGGCCCGTTTCTCCTGAGACATCCATGAAACTCTGACTTCGGAGATGCCGCGCGAGAGGTGGTCCGGCCCGTTTCGCCTGAGACGTCCTCGAACTTCTGAGCTCTGAGATGCCCTGCGCGAGGTGGTCCGGCCCGTCTCGCCTGAGACATCCTTGCAACTCTGAGCTCTGAGATGCCGTGCGCAAGGTGGTCCGGTCAGTTTCGCACAAGACATTCTCGCAACTCTGAGCTCTCAGATGCTGCGCGAGAGGTGGTCCAGCCTGGGCGCCCAGAAGACCACATGTTACATGTCCTCCATGGGACCCTGCGAGCCTCAGGAGGCCCCAGAGAGGTCCAGGAGTCCGCAGGACGCCCAGGACAGGCCCCAGGGGCCCCAAGGAGATTCCCAGGATGCTCCCAGGAGGCCCCAGGAGGCCCTCTATCAGAACGTGTCAAGTTAATACACATCCGGTGTCGATTCGTTGATTTTTCCTGCTCTTGTGCCCCCCCCCATTTTGAGGGGCCCAAGCGGCCACAGGTTTGATATCCACCTTGGGAGCCCCAAGAGGCTTCAGGAAACCTCAGGTGGAGTTCAGGAGGCCACAGGAGGCCCAGGAGGAAGCCCCAGGAGGTCCCAAGGAGGCCCCAGGAGGCACCAGGAGGCCGCAGGACGCCCAGGACAGGCCCCAGGGGTCTCCAGGAGATTCCCAGGAGGCTCCCAGGAGGCCCCAGGAAGCCCCAGGTGGGGCCCAGGAGGCCACAGGAGGCCCAGGAGGAAGCCCCAGGAGGTCACCAGGAGGTCCCAGGAGGCCCCAGGAGGCCCCTGCAACTCGGAGCTCTGAGACGCCGCGCTCGCGGTGGTCCGGCCCGTTTCGCCTGAGACTTCCTCGCACCACGTTTCGCCAGAGGCATCGTCGCAACTCTGGGGTCCGAGATGCCGCGCGCGAGGTGGTCCCCCCAATTTTTAACCCCCCCCCCCCCCCCCCCCCCCCCCCCCCCCCCCCCCCCCCCCCCCCCCCCCCCCCCCCCCCCCCCCCCCCCCCGATGCCCCCCCCCCCCCCCCCCCCCCCCCCCCCCCCCCCCCCCCCCCCCCCCCCCCCCCCCAGCCCGTTACGCTGGAGACATCCTCGCAACTCTAGGCTCCGAGATGCCGTTCGGGATGAAGAGGAGGTGGAGGAGGAGGAGGAGGAGGAGGAGGAGGAGGAGGAGGAGGAGGAGATGGAAGGGAGAAGGAGGAGGCGGACGATGTGCATGAGGGAGCAGGCAGGAGGAGGGGGAGGCCACAGAGAGCTCCAGGAGGCCGCAGGACGCCCAGGACAGGCCCCAGGGGTCCCCAGGAGATTCCCAGGAGGCTCCCAGGAGGCCCCAGGGGGCCCTCTATCAGAACGTGTCAAGTTAATACACATCCGGTGTCGATTCGTTGATTCTTTCTGCTCTTGTGCCTCCCCCTCCATTTTGAGGGGCCCAAGCGGCCACAGGTTTGATATCCACCCTGGGAGCCCCAAGAGGCTTCAGGAAACCCCAGGTGGAGTTCAGGAGGCCACAGGAGGCCCAGGAGGAAGCCCCAGGAGGTCCCCAGGAGGCCCCAGGAGGCACCAGGAGGCTCCCGCAACTCGGAGCTCTGAGACGCCGCGCTCGAGGTGGTCTGGCCCGTTTCGCCTGAGACTTCCTCGCAGCACGTTTGCCCGAGAAATCGTCGCAACTCTGGGGTCCGAGATGCCGCGCGCGAGGTGGTCCAGCCCGTTACGCTGGAGACATCCTCGCAAATCTAGGCTCCGAGATGCCGTTCGGGATGAAGAGGAAGGAGGTCGAGGAGGAGGAGGAGGAGGAGGAGGAGGAGGAGGAGAAGGAGAAGGAGAAGGAGATGGAAGGGAGAAGGAGGAGGCGGATGATGTGCATGAGGGAGCAGGCAGGAGGAGGGGGAGGAGGAGGAGGAGGAGGAGGAGGCAGAAGGAAAGGAGTTGCAGGAGAGGACCTAACGGGAAGCGAGTGCGATGTGGACTTGTCAAAACGTGTGCGAAAGATTGTCCGGCCCGTTTCGTTTGAGACATCCTTCCAATACTGAGCTCCAAGATGTCGCTCGCGAGGTGGTCCGGCCCGTTTCGATTGAGCCATCCTCGCAATGCGAGGCTCGAAGATGTTGCGCGCGAGATGGTCTGGCCCATTCTGCCTGAGACGTTTCGTAGCACAGGAGCTCCAATCACAACCTCTCTCATTCCTTCTCCCGCCTCCCTCTTCCCACTTCCCGCCTGGTTCCTCTTCCCTCCTCCCTCCTCCCGCCTCCCGCCTCCCGCTGCTGCGCCTCTGCCTCCGCCTCCCCGTCCCCGCCGTCGTCGTTTCTGCCGCCTCAGCATCTGTCATGCGCGCACTGCCTTCCGCCCTCCCCAGACATCCGACGTCACGAATTTTCACAGCATGGCGGTGGAGCCTCTCACAGCCGACCCGACAGCTTACTCGTCGACCAGGTGCGACCTGGGACATCCTCGCAACTCTGGGCTCCGAGACAGGGTTCCCCAAACATGATTTTCATTCCCCAAACAGCTTGCTGAACGGGGTGCTGTTGTGATAGAAGCTAACTCCGGCCGAGGGGAACGCGGAGCAGAGACATCCTCACAAAAATTTGATGATCCGGGCCGTCTCGCTCGAGACATCCTCACAACTCTCGTTTCTGAGTTGGCCGGGATTGGCCGTTTCGCCTGAGACATCCTCGAAAAGTTGCGCTCCGGGACGCCGCGCGAGAGGTGGTCTGGCCCGTTTCGCTTGAGACATCCTCGTAACTCTGAGCCCCGAGGTGCCGTGCGAGAGGTGGTCCGGGCCGTTTCGCCTGAGACATCCTCGAATTTCTGAGCTCTGAGATGCCCTGCGCGAGGTGGTCCGGCCCGTTTCGCCTGAGGCATCCTCGAAACTCTGACCTCGGAGATGCCGCGCGAGAGGTGGTCTGGCCCGTTTCGCTTGAGACGTCCTCGAACTTTTGAACTCTGAGATGCACTGCGCGAGGTGGTCCGGCCCGTCTCGCCTGAGACATCCTCGCAACTCTGAGCTCTGAGATGCCGTGCGCAAGGTGGTCCGGCCTGTTTCGCACAAGACATTCTCGCAAGTATGAGCTCTCAGATGCCGCACAAGAGGTGGTCCAGCCTGGGGGCCCAGAAGACCACATGTTAGTATCCTCCCTGGGACCCTGGGAGCCCCAGGAGGCCCCACAGAGCTCCAGGAGGCCGCAGGACGCCCAGGACAGGCCCCAGGGGTCCCCAGGAGATTCGCAGGAGGCTCCCAGGAGGCCCCAGGAGGCCCCCTATCAGAACGTGTCAAGTTAATACACATCCAGTGTCGATTCGTTGATTTTTCCTGCTCGATATCCCTCCTGGGAGCCCCAAGAGGCTTCAGGAAACCCGAGGTGGAGTTCAGGAGGCCACAGGAGGCCCAGGAGGAAGCCCCAGGAGGTCCCCAGGAGGCCCCAGGAGGCACCAGGAGGCCTCCGCAACTCGGAGCTCTGAGACGCCGCGCTCGAGGTGGTCCAGCCCGTTTCGCCTGAGACTTCCTCGCAGCACGTTTCGCCCGAGACACCGGCCCGTCTCGCCTGAGACATCCTTGCAACTCTGAGCTCTGAGATGCCGTGCGCAAGTTTGTCCGGCCCGTTTCGCACAAGACATTCTCGCAACTCTGAGCTCCCAGATGCCGCACAAGAGGTGGTCCAGCCTGGGGGCCCAGAAGACCACATGTTACATATCCTCCCTGGGACCCTGGGAGCCCCAGGAGGCCCCAGAGAGC